GCCTCACAAAGTCTAGAGCCGCCTCTGCACTACACTATATATAATATTATACTTTTTTTACACAAGAGATTGGAAACAGGGCAATAATAAGTTGGAGAAGCATAGAGGGCTGGCTTTTTAATAAAAGGTGCTATCCAAGTATGCTTTAAACAATAGGGGTAGATACCAGACAATTAAGGACAAAGAAACAAGGTGTGAGACAGTAGGATCTAATAAGAAGAGGTGTAGAAGGAGAAGGCTTAATCTTCTGTTGCTGAGGGTTTGATGTCATAAATACATGGAGGAGGCAAAAAGACAACAAAAATCCTCTTAAATCCTCTTTTCTTAACCCCTGTTTGAGCATATCAAGTCACTCATTTTATTAATTATAGATATTTATATAGCACCAACAATTTATGCCGTACTTTACATATTGTACATTCACAGCAGTCCCCGCCCTGGAGGAGCTTACAATTTAAGTTCCCTATCTCCCATACATACAGGTTATACACACAAGGGCCAATTTAGACATTGACAATAAATCTACCAGCATTTCTGTGAAGTGTGGAAGGAAACCCAAGCACAGGGAAAACACGTAGTTCTGTCAATCTTGGTGACAAAAGTGTGTTGCCTTTTTCTTATACAAAACTCTGGATGCTTTCAATAATTCCCACAGGAACAGAAACAGCATGCGGAGGCTCCTAATTCCCTTCCACAGGTGCAGAGGGTTGAAGCAGGTTATTTAAAATCTCATGAACTGATTGTACCCACTGCATCTGCAGAAGGTCTGTTAGTACTCTTTTAAAGGCAATTTTGCAATAAAGTTTGTCTCTGTTATTAACTTAGACCTTAATATGCTTTTTGTCTTTTCAGAATTTGTATGTTTACTGTTAGAAGATCGTACATTTTCTGTGTGAGATCAATAATGTATCTTTTTTTCAGTAATAGATTTGGCTTCTTCTACAAAATCTCTGTTGATTCATTCTTGCTGACATCGAAAATAGTTTTTACTTCCACTTACTTAAAAATTTAGGGTACTTTTTTTGTTATATAGTAAAAAATAAAAACCCCAGTGGTGAATAAAAGCCACCAAAAGAAAGCTCTATCTGTCCCCAAAAAATGGTATGAAAATCGTTTCAGTAAAGCGTTGCATGACGGAATAAACATCAGTCAAAGTACGGCAGCGCTGAATACTGAAAAATGGCCTGGCCAGGAAGGGGGTGAAACACTATGGCCTTCAAGTGGTTAATTCATCGATATTCAGTATATTAGTTTTACTTAAAAGGTTCTGAAAATCATAAAGGAACATCACAAAAAGCAGTTGAGTTACCTTGCAAACAAAAAGGACTGTGGGTACTTGCTGAAAATAATAGAGTTATAAATATGCACAATGGGATGCCAACTATATCCAGATAAAACAATGTTTAACAAACCACGTTTCGCCAGCCACTCTTGAAGGGCCATGCGGCTGGAAACTTTGCATATAGTTGATAACATAAAACATTGCACAGTTCATAGCTGTTAGACCTTTTTTAGAGCTGTAAGGCATTCTTTCAATATCCAGTCATCTACCAGCACCTGACTGTTAGTCTCCACGATAGACAGCATTAGAAACATTACTGAGCTTAGTCAATGATTAAGCACTTGGCCCAATAGAACTGACCTGACACTCAAGCACTCTATGTGCTTACAGCTCAAGCTTGCAGTTTCTCAACTGTTATGCACATAATAATGTCATGCTTTGTGGATGATCAGAGGGATATTATCCCCTGTGGCTCCTCCCCTGGTTGCTACACAAAAGGTAATGTAGGGAGGTGAGGGGTGGAGGAGCTTGAACAGCATAGACAGTAATCAGACACCCTCAGAAGAGGTGGGGGCTATGATGTGCAAGGAGGGAGGGAGCTCTGCTAGGGAATTGACACTTTCTGGGGTGTCAATGCCCTAGCAAGTTCAGAGGCACGTTATACGTAAAAAAATGGTTTATGGATGAAGAACGCTGCAAGTAAGAATTTTAAATACTTATATTGTATGTGTTTTACCTGCAAATGTCTCTAAGCCTGTAGATTATTAGACTACTACAAGGGTTGTGGAACATCTGGGGCAGCTGTCCTGGGTTTTCCTGCAGGTGCTCTTGATCTCAGGCCTGTGATCACTGAACAGTAGGGGTACCTTGGGGCAACAGTACTCATTATCTAGTGTGCAATGTCCTCTTCATGAAGCATAATGAAAACACAAGCGAAGAGGCCAACAGCCAGGGAGAAGTTCTGGGGCTTGTCTTTTATGCTGCACCTTCAGATGAGCCCATTGTCTTTTACCTTGCTCTAAGTGAGATAGTGTTTTTCTCTCATTAAATTACCCTTTCAACACAATGCCTGAGCCCTCTTGCTTGTGTTTTCTCTGTGCCACTTCGGATCATCCCTTATTTCAGAAGAGCTGCTGAACCAGTGTGTGTTCCTTATTGATGATTACAAATGGACTTTATGAACTGAGGGGCAGATTGGGTCTTACCAGGGCTGTCCCTACCCTGTATGCCGCCTGACGCCATAGAGGCATTGGATGCGGTGGGACGGGAGGCTGTGGGACCAGACAGAGACTCTGTCTGGTCCCGCGCAGCTCACTGATGCCATTGGTTGCCAGGAGCTTGGTGGGGCGCCAGCCAGAGCATCCTCCTCAGCTCTCTGGCAACCAATGACGTCTGTGAGTTGGGCGAGAAGCCAGATAGAGCAGACCGAGCATCATAGGTTGCTAACAGCATCTTTTAGATGCTGCCCTGGGTCTTACATTGTATGTGCGCTCATTTTATGTAATTTTTTCATAAAGCATAATGTCTAATATAGGAGGGAAAGGAGGGAGGCTGGATTTTTCTTCTAACACAAGTGAATAGCAAATAAAGTAAGTGAAAATTGCTCCCCATTGAGATTTAAGGGCATACAAGGGTAGTGATGCAAGTAGATAAACAGTAGAGGGGGAGAGAAAACTAGTGAAGGACGGAATCATAAAGTCATAGCAATTCAATTAGTAGTTGGAAGAGAAAGGCTCCACATGGGTGGGGGCAGTCCAAAGGAAGTGAACAGAATACAAAATTCACCAATACTCAACCATGCTAGCTAGCTAGTTAGCAAACAGAAAGTAACTATTATTTGTTTCTAAAATTTGGATTGAAAAGGATATTCAGTGGCATACATTTGCAGACATATGCTCATACATATGATACAGTTAAGTTATGCATGCATTGGTTAAGGTATGTGCTTTATACATTGCCATCTTTGTATAATTTTTGCTGAAAATGGTGGAAGATGCTAGCATTTGTTTTATCACCCGTTATTGAAGATAATAATACCATACAATTCAAATTATATTGTTGCTATTGGTAGTGATCACATGGAATCAGAATCAGTCCTGTTATATAACACATTATTACTTATGTTGTGGCCATAACCAGCATTTTGGAAAAGTCCTTATGTTATAAATTCTGTATTATTAAGAAAGCCCAGCACTAGGTCTGCACTTGCTGACTATTCCTGCAGACTGAGTATCCTGATGGCACCATCTCTACTTGAAGCATATATAGTGTGTGTCTGTAAACAAATAAAATAAATATATATATTCCGAGCATCATAGGTTGCTAACAGCATCTTTTAGATGCTGCCCTGGGTCTTACATTGTATGTGCGCTCATTTTATGTAATTTTTTCATAAAGCATAATGTCTAATATAGGAGGGAAAGGAGGGAGGCTGGATTTTTCTTCTAACACAAGTGAATAGCAAATAAAGTAAGTGAAAATTGCTCCCCATTGAGATTTAAGGGCATACAAGGGTAGTGATGCAAGTAGATAAACAGTAGAGGGGGAGAGAAAACTAGTGAAGGACGGAATCATAAAGTCATAGCAATTCAATTAGTAGTTGGAAGAGAAAGGCTCCACATGGGTGGGGGCAGTCCAAAGGAAGTGAACAGAATACAAAATTCACCAATACTCAACCATGCTAGCTAGCTAGTTAGCAAACAGAAAGTAACTATTATTTGTTTCTAAAATTTGGATTGAAAAGGATATTCAGTGGCATACATTTGCAGACATATGCTCATACATATGATACAGTTAAGTTATGCATGCATTGGTTAAGGTATGTGCTTTATACATTGCCATCTTTGTATAATTTTTGCTGAAAATGGTGGAAGATGCTAGCATTTGTTTTATCACCCGTTATTGAAGATAATAATACCATACAATTCAAATTATATTGTTGCTATTGGTAGTGATCACATGGAATCAGAATCAGTCCTGTTATATAACACATTATTACTTATGTTGTGGCCATAACCAGCATTTTGGAAAAGTCCTTATGTTATAAATTCTGTATTATTAAGAAAGCCCAGCACTAGGTCTGCACTTGCTGACTATTCCTGCAGACTGAGTATCCTGATGGCACCATCTCTACTTGAAGCATATATAGTGTGTGTCTGTAAACATATAAAATAAATATATATATATTTATTATTTTTTTATCTATCTATCTATCTATCTATCTATCTATCTATCTATCTATCGATCTATCTAGAGATAGATCGATAGATAGATAGATAGATACTGCTGCTACTGCTAATACTGCTATTCACAGTCCAGCATTAGACCGGCTGTCTCAAACCCTGGAGTGCCAGACTCCCACTCACCACCTGCTGACTGCAAGAGGGTTAATTTGAAACATTTGTATGTAGCATTTTATATTTATCTTAGTAAGAAATAAAAACATTTTTTTTAAATGACATTTCTTACTTCTAAATAGATTTCATAATTTCGTAAATAAAACAAATAGATAGGAAATCACTCAAAACAGAACACAACATGCAGTACTCAAAATACATAAAAATTTCAAGTACAATTTCATCCAGCCCTTACCTCCTCCTTCACAGCAGTATGGGTATTACCTGTAGTTAGTACAAATGAGATTAATATCATGTCACTGTATTGTGGTATATGTTTTCTCTGCCTTGTCTTATGTGCTGGTCTACATTTGTCATTGCAGTGTCAGTGAAAAATCAACCATGGCTCAGTCTTCTGATTCAGCTGTTGGAGTTACAGATCCTGAGGATAACACTCCAAACATGATTGTCTACAGAAAAGTAAGGCTTTCGTTTTCTTTCCTTTTACTCTCTGCTGAAAATTATCAAAAATTTGTAATATTATATATGATACTAAACACAACAGAAAACAATATTTGTAATGGGTTCAAATACATTTCTTTACCTACCAAAATATGTGTACCTTCTTATAGCTAGGATTTAAATTCACACACTTTGGCCAAACTACATAGCTGGGACAACACTTTTTTTTTTTGCAGCTTTTGTTTTTTTTGTCACCTGTTGGCTCATTGGAGAAGCAATCAGATCTGTGATGATAATGTTGTTTCATTGTTCAGTAAAGAGACAGTTAATATATTTTTCAGCCAAAAAAATGGGCTGAAAATCTCGGCTTATACTCGAGTATATACGGTAAATAACGGTGTAATTTGCCAAGCTATGCAGTGTGGCCATGTATGTAATCATGAATACTGTCTTTTGTCACATAAAAGAGTTCATATATATGTTATTTCAGTCAAGTATTTGTTTGGTTGGAGGTCCACTTTAAATACTAAGCTGACCTAAAACTGATATTTCACAAGTGGTGAATCACATCATGGCTTCTTATTTTGTTAAGGATTCAGGCAGCAAGGTATTCCCCCAATGGCACCTGCATTTACCCCTGTCCCCTCCTCAATGCAGCTGTATCAAAACAAAGATGAGAGTCTCATTTCCAATGCTTCTTTCTCTAAGATAAAAGGTAATGGGGGGTGCTGAAAAAGGAAATGTTTGCTAAAATGTTTAATTGTCCATATCAATGATTGTTGGATTCTTAATGGCTACTATATTGGCACCCTGTTCCTTTATGAGTCTTGGGTAATTCTAAAGTGAGAAATTAATTTTGTATTAATTTTGAGGTTACTCTCTAATATGTTTAATCCAGCCTTTTTTTCAGTTGGGTATTCCAAATCAATGCCCAATGGGGCCATTAACACATAGGATATGTGAGAGTATTCAATCAGAGTTTGATAAATCCTAATGAGGTGTTGGTCAAAATGTGTGTTTGTCCTTGGATATTTGCACTTCTCCTGTAATTTCAAACTGTTTACTATGCCCATGACCTGTTTTCAAGGACATTTTTATTTAAGCATTAGTTTTGTGGTTTGGTTTAACCTTGTCACATAATTTGGTGCAATTTCCTTTGACTTTTTGTTTTGCTTTTGATGTGCTTACTTTTTCCTTTTTAGACTTTATAATACTATTATGCTTTATTATACTGCTATACTAATATGCTTTATAATATATACCTATTGACTTATTTGAACTCAAGTTTGTATTCAATGTTTGTGTTGACTAGATTGTAAGTCAGTAAATGATTGAATATGACACTGAACAGTATTGTATATGTTATGATAGACAGACAAGAAGCTATCAAATTATTTACTCATTATCGGGACATATTTCAATCTTAAAGCATTTTTCAATGTCAAATCAAGGACTTGGCATGTGTAGTAAATCTTTGTTTTTCCTGTAATTGTGACAGTTTACATGGGCACATCAGTATACACCATACATAATATAAATGTCAGCATGCACTGTAGTGCCCTATTTTCTCTTCAGTGAAGTGTTCACTCTTGAAGGGGGGGGGGGGGGGGGGTGTGTGCGTGTATGTATGTGTGCAGTGCAACCCTTAACAACTTCATGACTAGGGGTATTTGGTGCCTCACTGGTAGCTGAATCTTTTAGTAGCTTCTTGTTTCTGTGAGGGAATCCTGCAAGATATAAAAAAATAAAACCAGCAATTGAGATTTTCATGGAAAATAACTTGTGATAAGGAAACAGGCAATTCCATCACTGGTACCGATAGCCTCTTAATTTCTTCTGTCCAAATAAAGATCAGGGGAATGTTTTAAAACAAGGAGCTTCTGAAACTATTGGTATTTTGTTCATGTGTCTTCATTAGCTACATTGGGCTGAATGTCATCACAAATTATGTAGGAAAGAATGTGAGGAGCTCCTGTTGCATCATGAGAACAAATATATTTTTCCTGATACAGATCCTTTAACCTACAACTTGCTATGGAGAAGGAGTAGTCAGAAGCAAGAGATGACTTTCAAATCTCATGCTGGTGTGAATGCCTGAATCACAGACACCATAGACATTTCTTTTAGTTGTCGTAATGTTATAAAGGGAGGTATTATGGGTTTAGATATGCAACCATTTAAAATACTGCTTGGGTAGTGTTTAGTGATTTAAATAGCTTTCTAGAAATTATTTATTGGAGGTCCTTAGAGATGAAGCTGACCAACTGCCCATAACTCCCACTGATTAAAAAAAGATCTATAGCTGGAATGAGCAGTGCCATCACTTAATGGCCCCTGATGAATCACTGCTAGTGTGTTAGTATTATTAGATTAAAAGCTCTGTTGACAGTTTGATAAACTTTTATGTTTATGCTCAACAACAGGCAGCCTGTTATGCAGCTTAGTACATCATCGCTATAATAAACTATGCCTTGAACAGGGGAGTTGCTTCACTATTTAAAGCATAGACTGCTTGGCCAATTACACATTGGTATACAAAAAACGAGAACCGGGGAAAAGAGGGGAAAGGTTCAAGCACAATATATTCGAGTATGGAGTGTGGGTCCCCTAGAAATTTATATGAAAGAAAAACGATTCCCCTAACAGGGGATCCCACCATTCCTTCAAACAATGATGTAGATAACAACAATATTGCAAATAATGTGTATATTTAATAAATTTTGAAAAAGCTAAAAATCATTCTCTGTATGAGGCACTACATTAATGGCATAACATAACAGACAAAGACATATAAACATACAATTGACTGCATCCCGCCTATTGGTATAAGAGGTGGGTGTATAGATAGATCTTCATCCATAAAAACACATGTCATAAAAAAGGGGGAAAGGTTGGTATATTACGGCTTGGGGAATGAATACTGAAGATGACAATCGTTCAGATGTATGGAATGGTTCCCAAGTGAAAAATAGATGAATCACCCTCGATCGAAAAAGAGGGAACCGATTATATCAGCAATTTGATACAGAAAGACGATATGATCCAAGCAACAGCCAGGGAGACCAGCGAAATCCTTGAAACGGTAATCTAGTCAGTAACTTTTGAACTCTTATTTATGGATGTCTATTCGTCTTGGCTTTGTATTTGCTTTTTATGCTTATCTTTGTGGTATTTATTTGTCTGCTTTCTTCAATGAAACCTCTTTGTAAAACAAAACATTGTGTGGCACAGCTGTCACATCTAGGGGCCCATATATAAAGCTGATAGCTGATATATCTACTCTTCACTATACACAGCAGAGTTACTTCATATTGCAGCCTTTATTTTACTTCTCATTCACAAAATGCAGGAATTGGAGTGGAGCCTGAAGTATGTCATGGAGTCCTCATTGCTTAAAGAAGAACTTTACTCATATCTTCAAAATAACAATAAAGACACCTTTAGAAATATTTAGTATTGACAATCTACACACTTCTAGATAATTGCTGGCATTTTATTATTTTTCTCATCTGTAATCTCACAAGATCTCAGGGAAAAGGCAATTTCCTCCCATGAGATGATGGAATGGTCACATGTCCTAGTCACATCTTCCAGAGTTCCAGGTAGTAAAGGGAGATATATTAATCTGCCCGTAGTTAAAATGGACACTGAGGAATGGGGATGAAAAGAAAAATAAGGTATGCAAAGAATAAAAAGTTGGCAAATGTTCCAGAAGTATCTGTTTTGTAGATTGTCATTACAAAACATTTTTAAACGTGTGTTTGTTGTAATTTTTTAAATAAGGGTGAGGCCACAAATTTTTTTGTGCATTGTAAACAATTAGAAATATCTCTATTATAAGATCCCAGGTTTGCTCAGAAGTTAATAACAGCGTAATAGTCATTAGCTAACTTTTGTTACAGTTTTGCTTGTAACGTTACCGGCACAGTAAATCAAAATGCAATATAAAAAATAATATGAGAAAAAAAAACACTTAAAATAGCTATCAGCATCTTAACAAATGCATATATTAGTCCCGGCGGCAAAAAATCAGAGCAGACAGAGCCAGGAATAGTTTTCAAAGCAGGGATTTAGGTCTCTTTCTCACTGGTTGCCTGTAATGGGCTCTAGAACTGTCCTTGCACAGATGGCAGCATTTTAACTACATGGCAGAGATGACAGCCTAGGAGAATGTAAACATCGAGGAGATAGGTTAACTGCAGGGTGTTGATTGAATTCAAATGACATTGAAGTGTTGATCTAACACATGGTGGTTCTTGGATAGTATGTGGTAGAATTAAATGGGCTACTATCCATTAATAATAAAAGTAGAATTAAACACTGGCAGCAAGCAGTAGATAGATGCAAAAACATAAAAAAATAAAGTTACCAAAAAGGTAAATACTTACCTGTGTCTCCGCCGCTCTCTCCGTCTGAAGATCTGAAGATTCTCAGACCGCATGAAGGATCATGGGGCGGACACATGCGCAGTAGAGATCTTTGGCCGGGGGAAGAGGCGAGACACAATGTAAGTCAATGCAGGCAGCCGGGAGTGTGCACGTCGGACAGACACCGTGGGACACAGAAGACACAGCATTCACCGCTGGATCAGAGATCGGCACCAGCGCTGGAGAGACTCCTGAAAACTACTGGAAAGAAGAAGCTGATTGGATCAAGAGGCATAATTTAAAGTAAGTCCTTAAAGCAGCATGGGGGGGTGGCGGGGGGGTTGTGACTTTATTGTCACTTTAAGGGTTTATTTAGTAAATTAGTGCAAAGAGCAATCATTTGCTTTAGCACAAAATAACTAATTTGGGATTGTATTGAAAAAGTTTAGGAAATCTGTTATTAAAATTGGTTACTGGTTGGGTTGCAGGGGATGGTGCAAAATACATAATATTTGCTTGTTGCTTTGTCTAAGCCAATTCACTTCCTAAAGTTCCAAATGTTCTATTGTCAGTACTGCAGACTTCCTGTGAAATGGGATCTTACTGAATACACCTATTACCTAGCCCTGTTGCAAATCTATATCTACATTA